CACGTATACAGCACTTTTCTTTCTTTCATACGATAAATTTTATAAAATCCAAATCGAAATATTAGATATAATAAATAAGAAAACGTTAAAAGTTCTCGAAATACTTCCGATCCAAATAATCTGTTTTCGTGGTTACGCGATGTACGACACTGCTCACCGATTAAATATGGCCGAATATGGAATTAAAGAGAAAGAGAGAGAGAGAGATGGATAATGAAAAAGTGCGAAAGTTGGACGGGCGAAATCTATCACGCGTGAACAATGGCCGCCAAATGAGATGGTAAAGGCAATTGACCGACGGATCCCGACGGTTTGCCCACCCATTGCCGGCCTCCCCCTCTCCTTTGCTCTCTTTCTCTCTGTTTACTCGGTTCTACGTGATCCCTGCAACGCAAACTGCACAGAATGCAGAAACCGGGTAGAAAATAGGTATCGTCGTTCACCGACGAAACACCAAAGCATTTCCCCCCTCCACACCAATGGGATTTCCGATTGACACTTTCGAATCGTTCCGCCAAACTTTCCGTTTTCTCGTTACTTCGTTTTTCGACATTTTATTCCGAAATCTTCAATTTTTGCGATTTTTTTTTTTTTTTTTTTTAGTCCATTTTGAATCGAATTAGCTTTTTTCTCTCGATTGAACGATATGGAAATAGATTTTCAAAAATAGGCGCTCGCAAGTAAATAGACGAGTTCCAGTATTTAAATAAATTTTTAATGGAAAATTTTGGCTCGAAACACGTGTTCAAATATGCACAGTTTTATCTATTTACATGGATTTTAAAAATTTCATTTTAAAAATTTCATAAAAATCCGAGTTGTGGTTATTATTACGAACGTATCAACGTAACGCGTCAAGTCACGCGACGGGAACAACGTTGGTCTAAATAATTCTCGAGACGATCGCGCAAGATTTTGGAATAAAAAAGAAGAAAAAAAAAATGTTCATCACGCGAGAAAAAAATTATTATGCTCGAACACGGTCATTTTTGTCCATCGACAAAAGAATTTTTGATCGATGACGATACACGCGCACGGGCAACTGATCGGCACGTTAAATATGGTAATGAGTTTCGGCGCATAAGGTCCACCAATAGTCATCAATTATTCTGAATAATGGCATGCAAATAGGGCGACGCGTAGGCAATTAATGCCACTATTTGCACAGGCTTATCCTTGGCGCACAGGACGGGTTGGTACAGAGTTGCTCTACACGCACATGTATATTTGTCGATTGTAGGTAACAATAAACGGGTGACAAACGCGATACCGATCGTCTGTTTATAATATAGTTTGTACCGTCACATTATCCACTGTATCCTTCGAGACACTCCCATTTGCGGTTTAATGAAATTTCGACGATCGACCAATGAATGCACGTTTCAATTTTCAACTTGGCAATCGCGTTAAAATATATATATAATACTATACATGTATGTATTTAACACAAATGAATTGAAATGAATATTATATTATATCTTTTATATATCTTCTTTCTTTGAAATTTAATTTTAACTGGTATACAGATTTCCATACCTGTGCCTCCTCCATGCGTGAATAGACACGCACTTATCGAAAGATATACGATGCAATCCTATATTCTCGATCGCTTAATTCAATATCTTATTTGAAGTAACAAAACAAAATTACATTCTCTTATCCTGTTTCGAAATAAAAAAAAATAATCACGATCGTAAAGTTTCGGTACAACATTGTTATCATCGAGTGCACTTAACCAGATATTTTAAACGAGCCTCTCCTCCCCCCACGCGTCCTTAAAAGTTGGCCGGACTTCTTGTTAGAACTTGCTCCTCCCTAGAAGATTTTCACACACGTGTTGTACACGTACGTTTGTCGTACGAAACTAATCAAAAGTTTTCACGGTGCATGAATCCGACATGTATCCGAGAAAGACGCGTGGAAGTCGCCATTGTCAGTCGATTCGCTTCCCTGATCTCATTTGTTCGGAACTGGAAAAACTCTTTCAATTTCGATCGTAAATTACGGCCGCCCGTCCGCATTCGGGCTACGTGCCGCAACGTGGAAACCCCCGAGAATGTAACCAAAGAACACGAAACTCTGCCCGCCCCTCGTCCCCACCAGAAATCGAATTATACGGGTAATCAGAAAGTTAAAACCGCAGTCTATTTCCCCGCCGCAAGAAACGATCGAATAGTTTGTCGAATTATTAGGTCATTTCGAATCGTGGCCTAATTAACAGGTGAAATGGTGAACGGTTATTTATTTGCAATTTTGTTGAATTTTGCATTGAAAAGGATTCGAGTTAAAATTTATGAAGATCTTTACCGAGTTACCGTCCGATGGTAATTTTAAATATTTTTATCGAAATAGGTAGCGTTGAAAGTTTCGTCAATTTTTATGCACGCGAAAGCAATAAAAGTTCAATTCTCTTGTTATTCTCTGGAAGAAGTGGGAAGAAATACAGGAGTTTTAAATGGAAATGATTGAAAATATTATTAACCGTGTCGATGATATACATCGATATACCGAGGAATTGAAATTCGTCTGAGACGTTGGGATGAATCTATCCTTCATGTCGGTCCAATGTATTCAGAGGTATACTTGTATCTCAGGTTTGTGCTCCGGACTAATGAAAAAACTTTGTTCCACAAAAAAAAGGCTGCCTCGAAGGGAACGAAGCGCGCCTGTTTATTTCGTGCCAAGGATGTTCGTCGAAAGTGGCGGTGCTGCTGCATGCATCGTGTGCATGTGGCTTTTAATGCGGTATTTCGGCCACTGCCGCCATGTTCGACAGCGAGTATACAACTTTCGGTATAATTTCTCACCAACTTTTCGTTTTCCTTTCATTATCGATTAATAATCGTGAAATGTATCGATTTTTACGAAAAATTTTTAATTTGTAAGAATATTATGGCGTAAAGAGTATTCCTATCACGAATACATCAGATGAAACGTAGTTGGTGGGTATCTTTAACGAGGTTCTAAGGACATTGTTGATGCGTTGATATTACGACTCTTCTTTCTTTTGCTCGTTTCTTTTTCCAAGCCTGTGCCCTTGTATTATTCTTAATTGGAGATGCGCGTGAAAACTATGTGGATACTGGTGAGAATTATTTGATATTTTTAACGAAATTATTTTTTTTTTTTTTTTTTTTTGTAGAAAGATTTTTACGAATTTTGTTACACGAGAGAGATAATTAAAATGAAAAAGAATTAGAACGATAATGGAAAAATTAAATATTTTCATAACATGAAAGTGGATATTATTCAAAAGTAGATATCTAATCTAATATTCTTTTTATGTATTTAACGTATTCGTTGTTTAAACATTTGCGGATGGAATTGGAGATATCTGTTAACGTATTTTCGTTAATGGAAAGTGAAAAATTAATGGAGGAGTATAAGTATTTTCGAGGATATGATATAAAATAAACCGATCGTTTATTGAACATATTTAATACGGAATAAAAACTCGCGATTTCTTTTCTAATATTTAATTTACACATTTTCTTTTTATCCCTATATTCAATGCCATTATCGTATTATCGTAACTAAATGAATTTGTTATCTGCATTATCGATAAATCCAATTCCTATTCATACTAGAAACCGCACGCCAAATGTCAAACACTAACTTTTCTATTATTTCGCTCATTTTTCCACGCTTGAAATTAATTTTTTTATCTTATTTCACGTCACTACCTTTGGATCATCCTTTGACTTTTCGAGAATAGGATCCTCGATCCATCCTAACCTAAAAGAGAAAAATTTTCTTACCAATATAATAGTAGAATAGAAACGTTTCAACCGAAGAAAAAAGGACCGATTCCCTTTTCTCGAAACCGTTTCTCCAATGGAAGAGGATATAGTATATCGCGACATCTATCGCGCAAAAAAGGAAGAAGGAGAAGAAGAAGGAGAAGGAAGAAGAAACTTCTGGAATGATCCGGCCTTTCAAAAAATGTCACGATTTCGTTCGCGAAAACAGCGGAAGGGGATTTCGTTTCGGTTTTCGTTCGAGGAAAAGAGAAGGGAAAAGGGAGGGAGGGGGGGGGGAATGTAGATCGTTAAGTCGGCGAGGAGTAGTGGAACACTGGTAACGAAGCGAGAAGTATACGCACACACGCACACACGCACGCACGCACGCACACAATTTTCGTAATGGGAAGACCGCAAAAAATGGCGTGAATGGCGGATTCAAGCGGAGGCCGCCTCGTCAAGCCTCGCAGCTTGGCTGTCGTCGTCGCGCTGCTGCCAGAGGCTCGCCGCGGTTCTGTAATTAAAAAGTAGAAACGTAGACGGAAATTGTTGACGTTGAAGAATTCCGGACATCGTCGCGTTTTTTCCCCTTCCTTCTTATTCACCTCCCTCCCCCGCCTTTCTCCTCCTTTTCATTCCATTCATCCATTTCATACACCACGCCTGTATACACCAATCTTTCGATTGAGTGCTACCAATCTACCACATTGTATTAGGAAAAATTTAGGAGGAATTTTGTTCGTCGAATTTTATCAATTTTAATAAAAGGTTCTTTTCTTTTCTTTTTCTTTTCAATGGAATTTAGTTCGAGACGATCGAGATGAATTTATATTTTTATTTATTCGAACTACTACTTTGAGACTTCACTTCGCTACTATTTTAAAATTGAGAAGAATAGATTTTTTTTTTAGAGGCACGATAGACGAAAGCCATCCCTTGGAATTAGTTGCGTTTGATGGTTAATCCGGCGGTAAATTAGGTTAACGTGACCGGTTGCCGACAGTTCGAAATAATTCCGGGAGTGGCGCATCGATCACCGTTTTGTCGCAACGCTAATTTCAATGCTCCCCAAGAATGATAGTAATCATCGCTTAACGAGGTTTGTTTGGATGCGTAACACGGATGATGCATGATCGATCGTTAGGAAGAATAAATCATTGGAGGATTTTCAGATTTTATAAAAATAAAAAGACGAGAGAGAGAGAGAGAGAGAGAGAGAGAGAGAGAGAGAGAGAGAGAGGAGAGAGAGAGAGAGAGAGAGAGAGAGAGAGAGAGAGAGAGAGAGAGAGAGTAG